TAACTTAGAATTATAGGAACTAAGCAAAAGAAGTAAGTAAATTGGGCATGTATATGTATGAAATTATGAGCTTAACACTTAGCCCACTTAAAATCAGAGTTATGCCTAACCCAAAACAAGACGCACGCGATAGAAAACACACGAGTTCATCGTCTTCATTTGAACGCTACGAGCTTGTCTTCTTCGTATCAATGTGTTGTCGTCTTCCTTGTCTTCGCAAGTGAGCTTCATCAGCGACTATCACCTTCTTGTAAGCCCCTAATCTCTCTCTCTCTCTCTCTCTCTCTCTCTCTCTCTCTCTCTCTCTCCTGATTTTTGGTAATGTTTGCAGAGCCTTTTACGATTTCGATTCTAGGAGAGAAGCCCAAACCCTAATTGTTTTTTCAAATTTTTGATACTTTGCAAGTATGAGACATGTTTGGTTTTGCAACCCTTTCTTGTGTCACACTCCAACCCACAAATTTACGTAATCTTGGATTAAGATGCGATTCACACCTTAATTATAGAATTTAATAAAAATTATAACTAAAATGTGAAGAACAATAAAATAAATAAACAAATATTTCAAATAGAATTTTCAACGTTAACAACATTATTCGAAATCTTCAACCATTACAATATTTTACAAGTTTGAACCACTCAAGAGTTCACTAAAACAGTAGCTCATTATTCAACCACAAACTATGTACATAACACACTCTATAAACATGCCAAATTCATCTTAAGTCTTAGATTTCAGGTTTAGTGCCTGCAAAATCTGTTAAGGGGTGAGCGAAACCACAACTCAGTGGGGACATAAACGACATTTCTATGGGGTAAATTGATATAACTAAATTTAGTGACATGCAATCACATAGTTAGATATCATACCAATAATAATAATAATGCATGTATGTTCTTCATCCATTCACGTTAATTCATATAACTGGACAAGCAGATATGCACGTCCCATATCATGCTTATACCACTTGATCCTGAATGCCCAGTTATATCAACTAACACCCATCCCAATCATCCCATAATTCCCCTTTTGTTAGTCATCTTGTCTAACTCCTTATCTCCAGTCCCACATCACCTAATAAAAACCATGTGCATCATGGGATCCCTGAGATCTAGTACCTACCAAGAGTTAGACTCAACTATACAAAAGATCATATTACTCTCTTTTCCATCATTATTTTCTCAACCCAAAACCTCCAACCAATTTCCATGACATGATATAATTTTTCTTTTCACATATCTCATATATCTAAAAATAATGTTACAATAACATTCATCAAATAATAATATCATGCATATTTCCACACGATGAATATTCATCCACTCATAACCATTTAAGGATTATTCTTCAAACCCTAGCCTACGAGGAGCACTATAAATACATATGGCTACATAAGGCATTTGAGGTAATTCTGAAACCCTACACAAACTCCGCTTTCTTTCTCTCTCATGTCGTCTCCCTCTCCTTCTCACTCTCTCTCTCTCTCACGGTTGCAGCCACCCGGCTCTCCCGGTGAAAAAAAACTCCGACCACTTTAGTTGTTGTCGTATCTTTTTCAAGATCCAATCGAACTAACTTAGGCATCGGAGGGCCTTTGGGCCAACACCCCCACCCCCTCTCTCCCGAGTGTGGTCTGTTGACCTAGATTTGTTTTACAGAAACCAAGGGGGAAGAAAGAGAAGGAAGTTCGAGGGTTAAAAATCTACGCATGAATATTCCCTATGCGGAATTTTGCTCAAACACTGCTCACGAAATTTAATTAAATCAATCTCCATAAAGGCCCCCGAGAAACTCCCTGCGTGGATACCAAAACTTTTACAAGACGATTCCCCGATTTCCATTGCATAAGCCCACTCTCTCTATCTCCTTTTCTCTCTCACTTTCTTTTCTCTTTCGTTTTCTTTCTCTCTTCGCATGCGTGTCGTCCAAACAGAATGAAGCAATGAAGGTCCTATTTATAGTAAGAGGCGGCAACTACTAGGCTTTCATTGGTTGCATGTAGATTTACTCCAAGTGTGGGTAATTGTTTTCTATGATTTCAACAGCTCATGGTAATAGTGCTTAGTCACATAGGCACAATGACACTCGTCTGGCCCAGCCCATAGCTTGTGCAGGCTGAGCGACTGCACATGGCGCCCAAATTTTTTTACGTCCACTTATAAAAGAAACCAAGGAAGGCCTTTACTTCTCCAAAGTTCACTTTTTGAAAAAAAACAAAACAAAAACAAAAACAAAAAGGCCCTTAGACAAGGGAAACAATCAAATGGGCTTTTTTTTTTCAATTTTCTAACCCAATATGATATCCGAATTTTTTTTAACCTAATTTTTTAAATGTGTTTTTTGGTCAATCTGTTTTTTCATTGGATGAAGATAATTTGGAATCATGTTGTGATCATTTGGAAATTTTTTTGAAACATGGCAGGTCTTCTGATTTTAATGGGAAGGATTTGTTTAAAGAGTTAAAAGTCATACAAGAGATTTTACCAAAAGAGGCTCAGACATCCACTGACATTTTGAGCGCTTTAAAAAGATTCAATTTGTTTTCCAAATGCAATAATTGTATAGAGAGTATTATGAACTTTACCTGTTATAGTTGCTTCAGCTAAAAGAAGTTTGTCCAAATTGAAGGTATTAAAATCTTACTTGCGATCAACCATGTCACAAGAAAGATTAAATGGTGTAACTTTGATATCTATTGAAAGTGATTTTTTGGGAAGAAATTTATTGTACTCGTTTGATTAATGACTTTGCAACTAAAAATGCAAGGATGATAGTTTTTAGATGATTTTTGAACTACTGGTTGCTGGTTGTTGGTTGTGTGGTTGTTTTGGTTGTTGGATGAAGTGTTGGTTGTTGGTCGCTGTTTTTTTTGTTAGTTTTTTTGACTACCTTCACATTTTTTGTATGTAAAAGATGATTGAGTGGAATATATATGAGTATAAGAAAGTAAATGTAATCGACTTTGTTAAGGATTTACTTGGTTCTATTTATGGATTATGATGGAATTGATGTCCCTAAGGGTGCGTTTAGTTCTATTTATGGATTATGAATTTTTTTAGTTGTATATATATGGCCTCAACATCTCTCTTTGCATAGGGGCCTCCAAAATTAATGAACCAACCTGACACATATAAGTCTTAGTGTACTGCAAGTAATTGCATTCTTATATCACTTGAGAGTCTTAGTGTGCATCAAATAATTGCAAATACGCTTCCGCGTTGATTAATTAGCATGCAATGAATGTAAGGCTGCCAACTAGACTAATTAATAGCAGGAGGTTTTGCATGCAAGAGATTTAGATTAGGTGATTATGTTCCTAGTGGCCAAGTCTAACGGATCCATAATTTTAAAATGGACTAGCTTGGATTTACCTTACAAAGAAACTCGACGGCATGAGCGAACTTCATTGATAACAAAAAATGATACACCTAGTTAGGGAGAACATAATGAGCCATATACCTCTCAAAATGCATCTAATACATAAGATATAAGCTAGTAAAAAAAGAAAATAGTAAATAAACATGCAATGCAAATTATATCTGCTGGGGTATTTGGAATAGGAGAAACAGTCTTATTTTTGAAGGGATATCATAACCTGCCCAAAAGTTGCTGCACCGTATGACTACATTTGCGAAACAGTTCTCTGAGGCTAACTACCTCTCTCACACAGTCCATGATGGTACGTCTAGCCCTCAAGCTCCCTCTCAGGTTTGGAGGCCTCCACTTGCGGGATTTTATAAAATAAACGTAGATGGAGCACTCAAAATTGGTGACTCCATTCGTGGGGTTGGTGTGGTCGTTAGAAATGAGAGGGGTGAGTTTATGGGTGCATGTGTTAAGTCAATCCAAGCCAGTTATGGGGCTAGGCAAACGAAGCTGATGGCTGCAATTGAAGGAATGCGCTTTTCTATCGACATGGGATTAAATTATGTTATTCTAGAGATGGATGCACAAGTTTGCATAAAGGGCATTCTCTCAACAGAGGAGTGTAGTGGAACAGATGGTCTTTTATTTGAAGAGGCAAAAAACCTACTTAGTAAATTTAGAGGAGTCCTTTGTCAATGGACACCAAGAAGCGGTAATAAGGCGGCACACACTTTGGCTCATTTTGCCATTAGCTGTAATGATTTTGTTTCCTGGATTGAGGACGCACCTATGTGGCTACTCCCAGTTCTTGATGCAGATGTACTCCCTCAATGAAATCTTGATTCTCTAAAAAAAAAACATGCAATGCAAATATAAAATAAAACTATTTAAGTTGCATCCTTCGAGTCTTTAAAGAATTAAAATCATTAATTATTGATTCATTATCGACATTATTAGCTTTTTTTTTATTATTATTATGTGTAAATACTATATCACATCTTTATAATTCTCATTGGTTGTTTTTCTTTTCTCTATCATTAGGGAAAATGCTAGGATTAAGTTTGGGGGTGGGGAATATTGTTCCTGTTGTGACTTCCATGTTTTGCAAAAAACAAAACAAAACAAAACAAAACAAAACCTGTTAGTATGAAAATTGTATTGTCATTTCCTAGACTCTAGCATAGGTTGGGAAGTAGTGTGTGAATATTGTTTACTGGAAGTTTTGGCACAACACATTCAATCCCGGATTTTCGAAGTATGACTTGATCGATATGAGGAACTTGATTTCAGGTAAATCATGACATAATTGTGAATTCATTATAGGATTCCTAATTGGACTCTATTTTGATTTTAGTTAAAATATTATCTTTCCCTATTATGACTTGCACGTTGAAATCATCTCCTAATTGATTGGTCTAATTCATTTTTTTTAATAGATATTGTTTTTCTATTAATGATTGGTTGTTTGGTGTCATCACTTAAAGTCCATATTGAATCAAAACTAATATCCATAATTGAACAATATTTGGTCTCCAAGTTTTGATGTCTTTCACTAGAGTCCATGTTGGATTCAATTTGAGAATCATAATTGAAGAGTGCTTGTGGACTCTTTGGTCTTTGGTTTGACTAGGAGAGTGGGTTTTGAATAAAAGTAAAGTGCCTCTCATTGGAGGTGGGACAACTTTCAACATATTGTTTGTTGAGCATATTGTATTTTTTTAAGAAAAAGCTGATGTGCATATTTTTCAGATAAGTCACCAAGTGTTCCTTGTTTACTTGGTGATTTATCAAATCATTTCATCATTCATATTGCATTCATATGCATGTCGATGACTCATATGGTTGAGGGCACCAAGACCGTTGTGGCGTTTATCTTCCGGCGAGTGATCGGTTCATAATTGTATATCATTTTGTACCCTTCTAGCTTATGATTTGGTTATGTTTTTGAGTTAAACTTGTGCTTTTAAT